CTGCGCCTGGGCTGGGACTCTTACCTATATCTCTTAATTGGAGCAACACATCTGATGATAAAAGTGCATAAATTAACCACCATTGTTAATTTGCAATTCTTGTTTTGAAAATCTGTAACATATGTATTGTTTTATGTTACTCTGTTTCTGTCTTTGTTTTTGCTGTTGTTTATGTTTTTACTTTTTAAAATAAAGAAAAATAAAAAAAAAGAAACTGACCTTATTTCCAGGCTAATATTTGCAATCTCCATGACAATTTTAGCCTAAATTTAATCAAGTTAATTACCTGTTAAACAAAAACACCAGCATTTCCAAAGTGATATTTAAAAAAATCTAGAATCTCCAAACATAATAAGCAAAATGTCCCAAATGAAATTCAAAGTTATCTGACATGAAAGCTTGGTCATTGTATTGCCATCTCAAAGGACAACATAAATATATGTCAATATAATGATTACCTACATACTGAAATTATCACCCTGTCTTCAAAGCTTTTTTTATAACTATGCTCTATAACGTGCAGAAAATATGTTGAAATAAATGAAAAGGTAATGAATCATAGAAGACACTAACAATTGAAAACAGAAATGTAATCTTTTTTTGCCATAATTTCATTGATAAACAAATAGCAATGAGACAGTTTTAAATCAAATCAGTAGGACAGTTTCAATAATTAACACACTGCATACATTCTTCTTCGTGGTTAATTGCTGTACAAGATGCAGACTCGACATCGTATTTACAAACACCATTAGAACAAATCATTCTATTCATTAACAGAATGTAACTATCTATCCTAACCATCCTGAATACACAGATACAAAATGGACATTCATCTGTATAATTTCTTTTCTTAAATTCCGTTATTTGAATATTATAGGTGTGTAAACTCAGCAAAATATTCTAAAAGAGTGCCGTAGCCAATAAGAGTAATGAGTCTTCCGCTTAACTGGCAATGTCAGAAATTGTTGACCTGAGTCCCCCACAGTTCAACATTAACAGCATGGCTTTATTTCTTATATTTCATTTCTATACTTTCCTTCTGGATGTTTAAGACCAAAGTAAAGCAGGAACTATGCAACAAGAGTTGTAGCTTTTGGGTCTGATAAGGTCAGTGAAATCCCCTCAGGACTTATCCTGAGATCCTGTACCTCAGATTTTAGAACCTTTGTCAGCCGCAGCCATGTGGATGAGTCACGGCCATTGCTTGGCCAATGTGCTCACTGGAAAATCCTGAGAGAGTGTTTTCTCTCCATGTGACTCTCCTTAGGCCCACTGTACATCATCGATCACTTTGCTCTTTGGCCGCGTAATCTCCTTGATCAGAAAATTTGGGACACTACCGAGTTACATGACGTTACAGTACAAGTTCTCATATGTCCTGAGTCTTAATTGACCTTAAAAGAGTAGGGCCAAAATGTTGGTTTTCCTTGCAGCCCTCCTTTTTCTCTAATTTTGGTCTGCTAACTTAGGTTGTTAACCATGCAGAAGAGAACTTATGGTCATTACCATACAACTTAGGCTGTTACGCTTAACCTCATTATCTGTATGCATAGCAAACATCTTAGGCATAATATGGAACAGGGATTTTCATCAAGTATTGATACGTTGAACTTTAAGTTCCTACAGAACATGATTAAACACATTTAAAATTAAAGTATACTTTAAAAAATAGGCATAAAGAATTATATACTACTCATGTTTGCACATAGTCCAAATACTCACAATATAAAACCTTCAAGCAGGACAGTCCCACAGTATTCCTTTTCCTACCTCTTGCTTTCATTCACCACCCCCTTCTTCTTGAACAACCATCTACCTGAGAGACATCATAGCAGCAACTGGCATGTCATGGCAAGCAGTCCATATTCAGTAGACCAGAATGACAGGCACTTCAAGCATGAAACTACTATTACAAATTACCATCTGCAGTGCAGTAGCTTATTTCACAGGTATCGATATATATAGTTAGTCAGGGTGAGAATCTTTCCAAATAAATGCTAGATAAAAACATATTCTGAAGATTCTCAGGATCATTGCCTTGCTCATCTTCTACATATAACTCTATGGCTTGACATTGTCATGTTTCCTAGCTCTTCTCCTTTCCCTCTCTTGATTATTTAAGTCCTTGAGATCCTGCTTTCCTTTTACTTGTATT